GTCTTTGGGAGGCAGGGAGAAAGCCAGCTTCATGTTCAGATCTGAGCTCTCAGGAAGTCTGGGACTTAAGCTGTCTGAGCCTCAGTTTTCTTACATAAAACCAAAAATTTCCTTCCCAGACTGGGGGTGTCGCTCAGTGGTAGAGCACTTGCCTAGCATGTGCAAGATCCTGGGTTTGCCCCTCAACCCCCCCCCACACTGCCCACATTGTTTTATGTTTATATATTTTTATTAGTACATGTTTGTGGTCTATAATGATCACATACAGCCCTCATCCAATGGTTTTAGGATCACAGAAGGTAGTGCTCACGAGATAACTAGCTGAAGGCCTGCCATCCCATCCCGGCATACTGTAGATACCTCATGAACATTAGCTTTCTCATTTCTCTTAGAGAATCAAATACGAGTATTCACTTGGGTTGTGGAAAGTTGGTATGGTAGCAACACTTGAGGTATCGTTGTACATTGCCTCTTTGGAAATCCCAGAATTCAAACCATACTGTTCTGTCTGCTTGTAGACTGGTCTGGCTAGGCTGTATCTGATAATTAGGGGCAGGGAGGGCGTGGAAAATCGAAGCCCACAGATAATCCCAGGGTCTCATTTTAGCCGATAACAATTCTTCTCCCACCAAGTCTTCACCCGAACTGCTAACAAGGAGCAAAACCGACTGCTTTGAGCTTCCTCACCTTTTATCCTCTCCTGTGAGAGGTGCTAATGAGCAGTGAAGTGGCCGGAGGTAAGCAGCTGGGGGAAGGAAGGCAAAGATCCAATCATCCCCCATAGGGTGATTTGAGTTATCACTGGTAAAAGTCCCAAGAGACTAGCTGTGGATTGTCTGAAGCTGAGTTAACACATCAGAAGCAAGGCTTGCCATGTTACATTTCAGTTTTAATCTGGTGGTAGATGTTGGGGAACTCTGTTGCAGCTCCTGCTGTCTCTGCCCCCACCTGCCGTTTGTCTGCTCTGAAGGAGTCACTTGGAGAATAGCCCCAGGCCTCACCCTTCCCCTGCCCCCAGGCTCTCTGCATCAAAGTAGAAAGCCGGAGGAGCCTGGGCAGGGACTCTGAAATGATGAGAACTGAGCCTGTGCTCCCAGGCGCCAGTCTTAGGCCCCTCCACAAACAGAGCAATGGGTGGCAAGGCCAGGTCCAGTGCAGGGGCGTCTTATTGTCTGCCTTAGTTTAGCTACTGCGTGAAGAATTTCTGAGATACATTTAATGCCCAGGGCCCCAAATTCAGAGTTCATCGGAATCACCCGAAGGGTTTTAAAAACTAGTTTTCCAGGAATGAAAATCTGAGATGTGTCCAGGGTCTGGGGGCCACACTCTGAGACCCACAGGTGCAGTAGAAAAGAAGATGAGGCCGGAAAGCAATAGCTGTGTGAGTGGGTGGCTTAGCTGACGTAATCTTTCGATATCCACATTTTCTCATTTTTGAAATAGGACTACTAATGATAGGACAGCGCTAGTTTAAGTGAATCAGAACACGTCGAGCCCTGAGTATTGCCAGCTGGGTGGAGGGTATTCAGGGTAGACTGGCGTGATACAGTCACGGGCTCCCTGTAACCAAGGTTATAATGTGGATGTTCTTTGAACGGGAGGTGTGAGACCCCTGACAAGGTTAATCATATTCAGCACCCTGAGCCTCTCTCCTTGCCTGCCTGCCTGACTTCTTCCTCTTTCTATTGACCCTTCCCTCCCTCCCTTTCCTTCCTGCCCTTCATAAACAATATTGTGACCAAAGTAAGAAGAGTAAATTTTAAAAATTTACATCTGCTGTCATAAAGTGCGATCTTTAGGGGTCCAAGTGTTTTGAGGACTGCCCGCCTCCTGTTTTTACCCCAGAGTGACTAGGCGCACCGCAGGAGTTTGAATATTGACTGCACGGGTAACTGTTAGCCTTGTAAACTAGACTGGATTTGTCCATCCGAGCTCCTTCTGGTTCTCTGACAGATACATTTGTAAGTTTGCCTCCTGCTCTTTCCTACCCCAGCAGCAGGCCCACATATACTCGGCCAAGGTGGCATTGCCAGCCTTTAAAAGCATTTTATTTACCTGGCTGCTCCGTGGGCCACTCCTTAAAATCTTGAAAATGGGTATTCCTTGGGGCCAGGCCAGGTGTCTTTGAACCTCCAGGAACAGTGGGGAAGCCTGAGAGGCTGGAATCTGCACTCCTGAGGGTTCCTGGAGGGAGAGCTTTCTGCCAGGTCACCTCTGGCCCTGTATTCTCTGGCCTGGTGGAATTGGGCCCTGGCTCCCTCCCAAGCTCCCAACATCAGCATTGCTGTATATGTGCTCACCGTATCGAGGAGCTGGTTGTCAGGTCGGGCCAGTTGTGCTAAACTGTCTAGCTAAACTCCGAGTGCCTCTAGACTGTAAGCAGGTCAGCTGCCTGTGTCTCTGGTTACTTCCGTGGCTCAAGTTTCCCTCTTAACGGGTCCAGATAGGGGCTTCTTTTGCACAGTTGAGTGCTGTGAGGCCTTAGAGCAAGATTTAGCAGGCAGCTTCTAGAGAAAACCAGGAGGCTGTGAGGCATGTTCATGAGTCATTAGTCTTTACAGCCAATCGTGGGGTGTGGGACTGCGACCTTGGGTCCCCGGGAGAGTTTATATGAGGGCAGTCTTGTCAGCTGTGTGGTGCGTCAAGGGCCCATTCCTTCATCGTCTCTTATTTGCTTGCTCTGTGGCGTCATGAAATAAACATGGACTGACAGTCTGCTGTGCACCTCTGCTAGGTGTTAGCAGGGATGGGGAGTAGGATGCAGAGATCAATAAGATCTGGCCTCCAGAAAGCCTTTGTTTCTGTTCTCTGTATCAGGAGAGGGTTGAGTTGGTGACAAGAATAAAGGATTAGATGGGAGGAGGGCAGAAAAGTAATGATAAGCCTTAGAGAAATAGGCATAGGCAATTTTACCCCGGAAAGTTATCAAAACAGTTCCTGAAGGCATTTGTAGGGGGTATATTTCTCGATACAGGCCTTATCTGGCTCTGTGGTCAATGCATGAGACCCTTGCAGCTTCCCAAACCTCTCATGACCAGATGCTTCATATAAGCACGAGGCAGGTCCTTAATACATAACAGTTTTAGGTTGGGGCCACTCTGGTGTCAATACGTAGAGGTCCTGTGCCCCTGCCTTTCTCACTTGGGAATATTGGAGTTTGAGGACTGTATTTATCAGTCCATTTTGTGTTTCTGTAACAAAATGCCTGAGGCCAGGTACTTTATAAAGAACCAAAGTTTATCTGGCCCACAATTCTGGTGGTGGATGGAAAATCCAGACAACATGTCATCTGGTAAGTGCACCCCCTCTGCCCCCAGCTATGTTACAGCATGGAGGAGATGCAAAGAGACCTGGTGAATGCAGAAGGCACCCAGGTGTGGGGTGGCCTTACTCTGTATGTAACAGCCCATTCTCTTGAGACAGCATTAATCCACTCATGAGGGTGGAGCTCTCGTGATCTGATTTCCTTTCATTAGGTCCGGCTTCTGAACGGTTTCACCAGCTCAACACCACCTCACTGGTGCTGAAGCTTCTAGTGGCGAGCTTTTGGGAAATAGACAATAGCCAAACCAGAGCACTGTGCATTTCTTGTCATGGACTAATTACCACCTCCTTTTTTTTTACTCATTTTCCTTTCAGCTTCACCTGGAATCTTTTCTCCAGGACCTTTCTCCTGCCAGGAATCAGCAGGGAGCTGTTAAGACTTCTTTTTACTTTTTTACACTCAACATGTAGTCTGGTGCTAAGCACTCAGATGTCTGGCTGTGAATATGTGTATGAATGCATTGGTCAGAATTTCAAATCATCGGTGCAAGAAAATTCTTTTGTTTTGCATGGTGTATGGCTTAGAATGAGAAAACGCAATGACAAAGACTTGGTGATCCTGAGATTTTCTTTGGAATGACATTTGCTTTAATAAGTTTTGACCTGTTTTGTAATACATCAGAATGGGATTTCCCTTTCACCTACCATTTCAACAAAGGTAAATGCGTTGGAGTTTTATCACAGAGGCAATACATATTTCAAAAATTTCAGTCATAGTCTCCTGCTAAATTAAGGCTTCTTTCCCTGGCAGGATTCACATGTGTCCGCTTATCCAAGCATATATTCCTGGGAGTAGAGTATTTGTTACCTTTCCATCTGACTCCCTCTGCTTCCCTCAGGGCAGGCAAGGATTGTATCTTCTCCATTTCTGTGTCTGAGTTGTATTTGGCGCATTGTATGTACTCAGGAAGTGACGAAGAGCATGGACACCGGGCTCATGAGCGGTCTTAAGGGCGTTCCAAACAGGAGCTGATGTGTCTCAAAGAAGAGGCATGAGGAGCAGAGGGGTGGGAAGAGATCAGCTGTAACTAGAATCCACAGCTGCTTCCTCAGGAAATATTGCCAGGTTATTATTTCGTGTGGGGAGATGCCCACTTGCTCAACAATCTGGAACATTTCTTGGTGTGTGTGTGGGGGTTCTTCCTACATGTATAGCTGAAGGAGTGGAGCAGTAGTTAAAATGACACATGTCTTTGCAGTTTAGGTGGGGAGATAATCTATAAATACAGTGAATTTGAAGTACCAATCAGATCGGGATTGAGCATGTGAGTAGGTAAACTAGAGACGCAGAGAGACGCCCCTGTGAACCAGATGTGATTCAGTATGATGGTAGGAAGTTTGATCCGTGCACATGGCTTCATTTGATTCGCACAGATTTCAAGGTGGGAATCTGTATCTCAGGCGAGGAAACTGAGCTTCGGGGGCTGAGTAGCTTGTACAGAATTACGTGGATAACACACGTCACCGCCAAGATTTGAACTTGATTGTGTAGCAGTTCAGAGAAAGGAGACTTACAGTGCATTTCTTTTAAATTTTATTGTAGTAGAACATGTGTGTAGTATGTAATGTTTACATTCCTTGTGGGAAGTTGGTAGATGGCCAGAACACAACCTTAATTCCTTTTTTATCCCCTTTTCCTTCATCCCCTCCACCCATCGCTTGATCCCTTTCCTTTTCTTTTTTAGTTTTTCTCATGTTTGCAGTACATGAGGTTTGCATTCCTTGTGTGGGTTGGAACATGTGTGTAACACATCCCAGTTCCTTTGTTTTGTGCAGGGAAGAGACCGTGTACATTGTGGGGCACATGTGGGTAAAGAGAGAACGCCAGGATGAGCTCTGGGGAGGTACCCTGCCCCTGCCCAGGTGGGATGGGTGACAAGCCGTTAGGAGCCTAGTTTGTCTGACTGTCCCTTGGCGAGAATGGTGCAGTAGGGTACTTATTCCATACAGACCTGTGCTGTACCCTAGAGGCTCCAAAGGGCTGGCTGGATTTACATGCAGGCCACATGCATACTTCACACACAGGGCTGGCTCTGCTTGTGTAGTCTCAGTGGGGCTAAAAGCCATCTGTTAGGACCTCTTTCTTCTAGTGGGAGTACACTGGGAGCTCCTTCTTCTCTCTGTGGCATCGGTGTTCCCTGTGAATATTTCCCATTGCTTCATTCCTTACCTCCGTCATCGGTGTCACCTCTGAAGTTGCTTGAGTGGAACAGTCCTGAAGAAAGACTTGGGAAATAAGAAATAAGGACAAAGAAAAAAAAGCCCGGGTATACTTGGAACTGGCATTGCCATGCAGAGGCTTAATGAAAAGAAGTGTGAGGGGAATGAATGAATCTACGACTTCTGTCCTTTTAAAAAGTGAAGACAGGATGCCACCACATGTTCCCTGGAGGCTGTGTCATGTACTTTGCAGCGTGGGGACTTGGTGTGCAGGTGTGTGTACCTCGGGAAGTGACTCTGGGGGAAGGAAAGGGTCCCTCTTCCTGTTAGCAGACTTCAGAAAGTGGGGATTGGGCGAGATGCCAGCTCCTGTCTACTCCTTCAAGGTGGATGTTCACACAGCATCCAAGAGCAGATCCAGGATGGATTCTGTAGTAGCTAATGCTGATCCAGCTCCCCTGGGAAGAGTCTGCACCTTAAGAGATTAGATTCGTTTGTAGGGGGCAGGGCTGGCTCGAGGCTGTCTGAAAAATCTGCTTGAGGTCAAATTTATGACACTTGCTTTATTGTTGAACTCATCACTAAGGGAAACCGTTTGAGCTTATTTATTATGAACTTATTTATTACTTACTACACGCTTAAACCTCTTAGAATTTTTTCTTAACAAGTGGGCCATTTTACATAGTGACCAACTGTCTGTCCCTAACTTCAAGTGGCTGGCCATATGGACACATAGTGACTCATGCTTATCAGTGTTTGTTTACAATTTGATGTTCTACTTTTAGCATTACTAAATATCAAAATAATATTCTGTGAAGTTATATTTGAGGCTTTACGGTTTACAGACCACTTTGGTGTACACCATCTCTTGTTTTTGATGGCTGGGTGACTTACTCATCTGAAGCAACAGGTTAAGGCTCTGTTTCTGTTGGGTTCTGCTCAAGTGTGAGAAGCCACGATAGGCAACGTGAACTAGTTTTGGCCTTATCTCTGTTTCCTGCTCAGGCAGGTAAAAGCTCTAAAAGAAAGGAACGGCTGTCAGCTGGCCAGGTGTGCCGGCTCATGGCCTTGAAGACGCAGCTGTTGGTTGAACTTTGCCCATGTTTTCCGGGTTTTATCTCATCTCTGGGGTATACTCCTGAATATACTCCTGTGGGAGGGAGCACTGATCTGTTCAAAGACTTTGTAACCTGTCCCTGAAGAATCTTTCCAAGGTCCTTAGAGCTGTTAGGCAGCCATCTTGGAACAGGTGAGAACTTGGGTTGCCATGTGGTACATGTATGCCCATGTCTGAAATATTAACTCTCTCAGGATCTGAGTGGGTTGTTCCCTGGATCACTGATCCACCTATGAACGGGAAAGGAGATGTGACAGGAGTGCCCGGTTCCCCAGTTTTCTTTGATGTGATGTCTGTTGGTTTGATTATTGGCTCCTTAATCTTCAAGCAGTTTCAATACGACTGACTGAAACTGGGGGAGAGGGAATGGCCTTTGAACTATTGGTTCAGTACAGTCTTGAGCTTTTTGGACACCATCTTTTCAATTAGGAAAACTGTGGCCTGGTTACTATTTCATTGATTCTTCTCTCCACAAAATAGTGTCTTTTAAGAATTGTTGGGGTCTTTTTGTTTGTTTTTTGCTGTTTTGTCTTACCTTACATGCTGGAAGGCCATATCTTTTGTAGTGAAAGAATAACCATTTTCACTGTGGTGTGCGGGATGTGTATGTTAAAGCAGGAAGATAAGCTGTCCTGGGTTCTCTCCCAAGGATGTTTGCTGATTCACAAAGGTATTTAATTACTCTCTGCCACATTTTCTAGATCTGCAAAATAGAAAGACGAGTTTATGATAATGTTATTGGGGATTTTTCAGTGCAAGTGAAAATTATTATTGATGCAGCCACAGGACTTGCTGCTGGCTCCAAGAAGTGCATGTTGCTCACCCTGGAAAGAGGCCAGCAATGACGGTAGAATACAAAGTGCATTTGACTTTGGCCTTACTTTCAACAATTGTTCCCTTACAACCGATCCTTAAAAACATGTGCCATCATTTTTTTTTCCCCATGTGCCTGCCGTCACTTAAGAGACTAGCAGCAGGCCTCTCTGGGCATGCCTTTGTAGGACTTGGGACTGGGGTGGGAAAACCTTATCCTTTTCTTGTTTCCTTATATCTTGGCATTTTACAGGTGCCTGGAAGGAAAAGTGGCCCGAAAGCAGCATAACCTGCCTGACAAGTCTTGTATAAATAGAGGAAGTCCAATCAGGCTCTGGCCTGAGATTGCCAAGCTCAAAGGAGCCAATTGTAGTGTGTACAAAGGTGCAAGTCACCAAGGCCCCAGAGAGCTCTGCATTGCAGCCAGCAGAGAGCCGAACCTAGTGACGAGACTCTTTGGTGAGGTGGCCCAGTTGCCGAATGGCCATCTGACAGTTGTCCCTGCCCTGCTCACCTGTGATGTTCTCATTTTAGGCCGCTAGACTTCCTCCTTGGTAACGGGATGGTGCTGGCAGCTCTGCACTGCGGAGTGGTAGATTTTGTGAGCCGGCTTTGATTTCTTCCTTTTGCTTTGGAGGAAACAGCAATCAGCTGTTCAGGGTAGAAGTAAAAGGAGAACAGCCTTTCCCGTGGCCTACCCAGCCTTCAGTGAGCTGCTGGTTTCCCTTCCCTGGTAAATCATTTGACAGCGTCGCTGTTGTACCCAGGACTCCGGGGCTGACGGGAGGGGGCCTTTCCAGGTAGCACACACAGGGCAGCTCTGTGCAGTCCCGTGCATGGGTACCGCTGTCCTGCGCCTTCGTGGGTGTCTTCTTGCCTTTGCGGCCCTTCTGCTGCATCCTAGGCCTGTGTGTCACCTTCCGTGTTGTCTTTGGTGACCCAGAAAAGGTGCGAGTGGAGCTGGCCCGTGGCACTGCTGGAAGAAGTGATGTGAAGGGTGAGCATCTCTGTTAGGCCCAGGTCTCCTCCTCTTCTCCCCTCCGGATCAGTCGGGACTACGTCCCAAAGGCGGTTTTTGATCATTTAGGACCTGGGGATACAGAAAGTAAAATATGTTCTTACCCAGTATTGTACCAAATGCTTGGTGAACGTTTCGATTTTTAAAAATGTGTAGCAGCAAAAGACACATTACCATTAATCCCTCAAAATACTCCTCTTTGATGTGAAGATACTTAGCATCATTCCTGCCACTTCCTGAAGCAGTTCTAGAAGTCCTCTTTCATATGTTTACAAGGTTTGATTTTCAAAAGTGTGGTGAATGCCACTGTCGCATTCCATCCAACAGAAAAGCAGGCTTGTAAATGCGTTACTGTTGTCCTCCGCCCGGCCTGCGTGACCTGCGGCTCTCCCCCAAAATCGAGTGACCGTGAAAAGTAAACATTTTGAGTCAGTTCAGGATGTCTAGCTAAATGACAGCACGATAAAGACACTCACCGAAGAGGACTCCAGAGCTGCTTCAGAAAGTGGCAGGAGCACAGGGATAAATGTGTTGAAAGTGAGGAGTGTTCTGAGGGCGATAATGACCATGTATTTTTTACCGTACTAAAATTGTTTTAAAATCATAAACATTCACTGTATCTTTCCATCACACTTTGTATTGTCAGCAGTTAGCATAGTGTGTAATAAAGAATTGCTTTGATTGAAAATATAATTAGATGGCTGATTACTCGGTACCCCTTAAGTGCATGTATTTGTCTTTTCTAATCAGGTGGTTTTCAACTTACCCAAAATTATATGTAGCAAGAATTTAGGATGCTTATAGAGAAAACTGAGTGTGGTTTGATTCTCCATAATATTTCTACATAAAAGCAAGAGCTTATTAAACTATTAGAAGTCTTTGCAGGTTTTGAAATTTCCTACTGTTATGAGAAGAGAGAGAGAGAGAGAGGGGAAAAAAGTTTTCTTTTTTCTTTCTTGGCCTATAAGGAAAAGCAAATTTCATAAAGACATGGGACAGAATAGGAAGTGTTCAGAGACTTAGTCATTCTTGCGAGGTATGAAAAAGCCCTGCTGTGTTCTCATATTGTTTCTTTTATGGTCGTAGCACTTCCTACTTTGAGAATACCTTTCTCCCTAAGGGCTCAAATCCCTTTATAGTTATTAATCTTATATCCTGCTTCTTTTCTCAAAAAATGGAAATGCTAACTACCATTTACTGGTGTTATACTGGCTAAATGTGTTTTATTTGTTTGGTTTCATTAGCTCATTTGGGCCCTAAATAGAGGCAAAACTTTCTTGGTTTTGTCACCAACCATCCCATGTCCCAGGAGCCCCAGCCTAGTCCCAGGCACCAAGAGGGGTAGGTCACCGAGAAGGAGACCAGTTCAGGTGACTCATTCTACCCTGAGTCCTCCCTCGCCTGGCGGCTGCCTTAGAACTGACTGGGCAGTAGTATGGGAATGGCTCAGTGCAAATCTTTCGTACACCTGGTAGAAGATGATTCAGAACATAAAGTCATAGAAAGACAAAAATTTGAGATGAGTGTAGATAGCGCAAAGTAAAATTTCTGGTTTCTTAATGTTTTTCTCTACCCTTTCTCTAATGCAGTTTATAGTGAAAAATGAAAACAAGAACTGATAACTACCTGATTTCTCAAACAAAGAAGTATGACCTCAGATACTCTGAAAAATGAGGATGCTGGTTTCACTTTCTAAGGGGCCCTTCCTGCCCTAACTCCTCATGGGGAAAGGAGCAGGGAGTTGACAGCAGGAGGGGGTCAAAAGAAAATGGACTCTATTATGCTTTAGAACTACACTATTTCCCCAAACTCTCCTGTGCACAGGCAGAGGCATGGCTTTGCAAGGTGATAGGATTGTGGGGCCACACTCACCTGTGAATAGATCCACTGATACGTTCATAGCAGAAAGTGCTGTCGGGAGTTGGGGTCTTTTTGGAAGAAGTGGGTTGCTGGGGGCACGACCTGGAGGGCTGGATCCTCATCCCTGGCTCCTCTCTTCCCTTACTGCTTCCTGGCCACCGCGACTTGAGCGACTTTCTTCTGCTCCACCCCTCTGCCGTGCTATTTCCTGCCTCGGAGCCAGCTGACAGTGGCCTGAAACCTCTAAAAGCCGTGAGCCCAGATAAACCTTTCCTGAGGTAGTAAGTCCCAGCAATGAGGAAAGTGACAAAGAAGACTCCATCTCCTTTGATAAGCTCTGCGTAGGAGAAGGGCAGTTTCTGTAAAACATACGAAGGCCACGGGCATCCGTCATATTCTGCCCCACCTTTTCCTTCCATCCCAGGCTGTGTTGTTTATTACGCTGCTTTGTTGGTTCCGGAGGTGTCAGACACAGACATTTCTTCTTGCCTCTGCATCTAGGGAGTGCGGGGCACTGATGCTGTCCAGATGCCCTGTCCCTCTTATCCAGACGCCTCTCCAGCTTTATAATCACCAAGAGAAATGCTGCAACTTTCAAAAATACTTTCTAATGTATTTGCTGCCATTTTCTCTAAGTTCAAGGTACCACTTTGATCTGGCCAGAGATCCTTACTTCTCACCTTGGAGAGAAAATACAGAGAGACCGTGGCATTCTTGGAATCTGACATACTTTGCTTCAAATTCTAACACCACACTGGGAAGAAAGTTCTTACACCTCAGTGAACTTGGTTTCTCCCTTTATGAACAGAAAGGTATGGGAGTGTCTGGCACCAAAAAGCTACAGGACCTCTTACATTTGCCTCTTTCCTTTTCCCTTAGCACCTCCTTTTGCTTTTTGACATAACTCTTGTCCGTTCTCTCTCCCCTTTTCTAACTTCAGTGATTGCAGAAAAGTGGTAAGGTACAGGTAGAGCAGAGTAGGTGCACGGCGAGTGGGTGCTTAAGAATAATTCCACCAGCTTTGCCTCTGGCAACTTGTACACAGCTCTGCTGCCCCTGTGATTATGGAGTCAACTGGGAAGGAATTGTTTTTAGCTGAGAACTAGCACTCAATGAAGGAAATGAAATACGTTTATCTTTAGAGGATGCAGGTATCGTCCTGCACACGCACACGCACACGCACACATACGCACGCACGCACGCGCGCGCACACTGACATTCACAGCCTACTCGCAGTCATGTGAAGAGCTGGTCTGTAAATGCAGGTGAAGCTAACAGATGGCCAGCGGTCTGGATTGTTGTAGCAGATAGCAGGAAAACCTCTGCTTAGCAGATCACTTGATGATTTTACCTGTGGCCTCCAACATGTTAATCAAAAGAAGCAAATGGATCTTTTCCCTTTGGGCCAAGTATGGATAGTGGCACTACAGGAACCACCTTGCACCATTTCTCCTTAAGCGATCGTGCCAGAGCAGGCAGACCTGCTGCATCGTCTGAATAGGAACCAGGTCTTTTGATGTCCATTTTCTTGTTTTCGTTCTGTTTTTCTTCCCCCTGCTTCAAAACAGGTGATTTGCCAATGCGCTTGAACTTGTCTTAAACCCAGTAACAAATGGTGGTTTTACAAGAGCCTTGTGTATTTTATCACACAGTCCACAATGCATTTGTGCGACACCTTAACCCTAGCACCAAGGGAGCCACCGAGACATCTCAGAAGTGACCATGTAGTTAGTGCCAGAGCCAAGATTCAGAATGCCCCTTGTGCTTCAAGCCCCTGAAATCAAATTTGAAAGGTTTCATGCTTTATCTTCTACTTAAGAATAAGTGGGATGTATTGATAATTCTTGGCATTTTGGCATATGCCCCATAGGGGCGAAATTTGCCGTGTTTAGTGATGCTAGTTCTGCTTCTAAGCCTCCTTCCTGTTTCCAGGTGTACACGTACTAGGGTTTGTCCGGGGCTTAACCTGCCGATTGGTGTTTGTAGGTCACCTGCCGCTAAAAATGCCTTCACCCCAGCATCAGCACAGAGTGGGGCAGGCATGGACCTTTGGCTCTGGATGCCTGTGGGAGTGAGGGCTGTGGGAATTTACTGCTAAGATTTTAGCAGTGGTAAAATGAGAGTTTGTCACCGAAGGTGATTTCTGGGTGGTATGAAGGCTAAAACATAGGCAGATACTTAGGTATCATCTTCTTCAGTGTTTTAAAAGTTATCACCTTAAAATATCATTTAGCTTAGTTATGTAACTATTACTTGCTGTAATCAAAGAAAGGGCCTGGACTTTACTGCCAGTCGGCCCTGGATTTTGAGCCGGCTCATCACTGTTTAACATTATGTGAGATATGTCACATTGCTGAATTCCAAGTTTTTAGCCTTTAAAATGGAAATTAAAATGATTGCTTAAAAGTGAAAAAATATATGTCGGTCACGTAAGAGTTGACAATGAGGGATAGCTTCTTTTTCTTTCCCCTTGTTTTTTTTACTGTAAGTTCCACTCATTTCTGCATTCTCAGCACCTCGCAGTGTCACCCACGTTTGTTGAATCAAAGATAAGTATTTCATAAAATTCATGAGACCATTGGCTTGTTCATTTGCCAGATAATTATTAGTTACCTGCAGTGTATCAGGCACTGTGCTGGGGGAGAGTGGTCAATAACACAATCATAGTGTGTATGCCCACACTTTTAGTCTAGCTAGGAAAGAAACATTTAGTAGAAGATTACAGTAATAGACATCTTTGATCCTTGAAGTAGGATTTAAATTTTGGAAATGACTGATCTCATTTGGTATTAAGTCTGACAGGGTAAGCTGGGTTGTATTTTTGTTCAAGTACAAGTAACTGTAATGAACTATTATTGATAACTAGTTTTGAAAATTCTAAAAGTATCTCAAAATTATTTTTGAGGAATGGTGGTACTATTGGAACAAGAGTGAACATATTCTGAAATTAAGTATCTACCTTAAGAGGTAGCAGACTTGATGGGATAGGATCATAGTAGGTGGGATATTCTAGGATCTTGGAATAGAACAGAATAAGGCCTAAGAACCGGTCCAATAACCAGTTAGATAGAGCCGAGAATGCATCCCCTAGAGGGCAGATGTATGAGAGAAGGTGGAGCTGGTGGCTTATAGTAGGATTTTTATGTAGACAATTGGACTTCAAATGTTAATAAGCAACTCTGTGGCCCTAAGTGAAAACACAGCCCATAGATGAGTTTGTGTTGGCATTAAAAAATGTCTTGAGTGAAACTGTCTAATGAGGCTTATCTTTCCATCAGTACTTCGTGTTCTCTGTTAGCCCATTCTGGGCACAAGGCATATATGGTGGTGAGCAAGACCAGCAAGGCCCCCAGTCATAGGGAGTTTTCTTCTCATGATAACTTCCCTGTCAGGGTTCCCGGGAGAGCCTGAGGCTCCTGTGTGATTTGGGGGTCTGAGAGGCAGATGAAGGTGAGGTTGGCCCCCAGTCATGCATATGGACACCAGAAAATCAAAGTCTAACTTCTAGTGAGCCATCAACCCATAAACAAGGAATTGTGAAGAGTGAGACTTAGATCCAAGCTCAGGGCCAGGCAAGCAGGGGCCAGGGAGGCCTGGCTTTGACTCTTGAGAGGCAGGACAGGAAGCCCTTAACAGGGCACCCAAGGCTGAGTCCAGAGATGCTCCAGGAGGGACTTTGCTGGGCAAAGAAAGCACTGGGTTGGAACAATGAAGTCAAAACCCTGCAGGAAACTGTAAGAAGTTTTCTGAACACTCCGTGTTGAACTACAACATGTTAACTAACAGTGGTTGAAAACAGGTGGGATTTTGTTTAGGTTGTAGGTTACTCAGAGTCTTAAACAGAGAATTACATTCTGTTGGCACTTGCTTTATAACCTAAATGTGACACACTCAAGATCACAGTCTCTGAAAATCAGATCATTTGATTTTTTTTTATCGTCTGATCTGAGTCTCCTCGGGATCTAATGTACACAGTGTTTCCATGTAACAAGATGGTACATATTAATTTTTCTTAGGCACTTGATGGAAGGAATTGACAAGGGCAACAGCATTTGTCTCGGATCCCAGGTCTGAAAGAAATGGAAACTATTGCGTAAGAGTAATACGTCATGGTTGGTATGGCCTTTTCCGGGTATTATATCTCATTTGATTTACTCAAAAGCTCATAATCTATCAGCACAATTGTCACTGCTATTTCATAATGAGCCAGGGAACCTGAGACTCAGATCTGTACCTCCCCTGTCACTTTTTCGTAGTTTTACTGGGAAGAATTGGTGTGGAGGAAGTAATGAGCGTGTTTGTTTAGGCTTAGACATTTGTTATTTCTCAGCCTTGGGAATAGAGGAAGGAAAACAGATAAGGATGACTAGAATTGGTGAAAAAATAAGGGCAAGGTGCATTGAAATTGTAAATAGTGAGACATGCCCTCTCCCATGGTCATTTATCAACTTCCTACTTTAATATACACCTTTCCTCTGAGATTATCTCTTGGAGAAGTTTAGACTCTTATTTTATAGTTCAGATTCTAGCTGGTGGGTAAAATAACATTATACAGGATACCCAGAGCTTTAGGAGTTGCTGGGTTGTATCTCTAGGTATCTTCTAAGCAGTATCATGGCAGAGTTCAACAATAATCCAGTAAGGAAAGGGTTGCAGTTCACAGTGATCACTTGTGTTGGGGAGGAAAAGTGAAACTTTGCAAAGTGGAGCCCTGAATGAACTTGTTTTGGGAAATCTGTTAAGTAGTGGAGAGGCAGGCAGGCAGACAGGCTTGAATTGGTGGAGCCTAAACTCTGTGCTTGTTGCTAAGTGCAACAAAGCCCAAAGTCCTTTGAGTACAGAGGGCACAAAAGTGCCCCTGCCCCTTTCATTCTTCTCTGTAAATGAATTCCGGTTTGGGTATGAACTTTGGCGAAATTAAGACAAGGAACACGGTTCGTGTTCGGTCATTGTCGGTCCCAAGTCTCTGATGCTTCCAAAAGCATGGGGACAGTGCCTGCCGATCACATTGTGGGTACCGTGAGCCCTGGAAATGCCTAGTGCCACCCAGAAAAGGAATTCATTTTAATTAAACTTAAAAACATACTCGAGCCAGTTATTGAAGTCTTTTAAAGAATTTTTAAAATAGCTTCGCTGTGTGAATTTACCTT